GACGCATCGTCCGCTAGTGACCCCTGACCTTTACTGAGTGTGGAATTCATACTTTTAAAGTTGCGTTGTTTTCAATTGAATAAAAAGAAATAGTAAAATTATGCAACTGTCAACATAATTTTGTAAAGGAGTTCTACAAAGTAAAAACAAAAAAATCACGCGCGTCGAAAAGAAAAACGGTTGAAATACTGAAAATATACTCACTCATCGGCCGAAAATCGAATGTGCACACGACCTCCTTCTCGTTCCATTGCAACAGTGAGGAAGACACCGTTAAAAATCTGCTCTGGGTTTTATCAACTCTGAAATTACAAAAACATAACTCGGGATAAACGAAGAAAACAAAACACATTTAAACCTAATTTTGAAGTACAGCTTAAAATGAAAACTGCCTTTGAATTACTTCATATTTCAATTTTATTTCTTAATTTGCTTCAAATACTCCTCTAATTTTGTTAAATTTATATTTGATGCAACATAAATGTACGGGAAAATATCACCAATGAGACCTCCCAAAGTTTGCCCATAGCATTCCAAAGCGTCAAAATGGAGGATGACGATTTCGGATTTGGGGCCCCGCAGACTCAAAAAAGGGTAATAATCCATTTTGTAGAAAATCCTAAGCTTTTAAAACTAACTGAAGAGCTCAATTGAAATATTTTGTCCGAAAACTGGTTCAAATATCGGTTCTTTTTCTTCCTCCTGAGTCCGAGTTTTTTTTTTAAATTGTTCGTTGCGTATGTTACTACTAGATCTAGATCTAGATCTAGATCTAGATTAGATCATCTATATCTAGATCTAAATCTAGATCTAACAAGGCTTACAAGGCCACTCTATCGAGGTGAGAATAGTGCAGGCGAGTCTTTTGGTTATTCTCACCCGGTGCGCGTTCACCGTTATAGCCTAAATCTAGGCCAACCAATTTTGCGTTCACCCTAATCCTAAACCACAGAATTCTACACTGTGATAACAGAAAAATTGTAGAATTCTGTGCCGTGAACAAACGTTCCATTACTACTGTTAGCCTACTAAAAGCGTACAATTTTGTCTGTGGTGGGCAGTGAAGAGAGAGAAAGAGAGAGAGAGAGAGAGGAGTAGCGCGAGAACTTCCGGGCAAAACAAAATGACGACCCGCGTAGTTCTGCTCGATTCGAAAAGTTAAATAGCCGTAGCATCTCGGTAGACAACCAAATTATTTACTTTTGTGTTTTAACATCATTTTTTAACTTTGATTTGGTCAATTTGATCGTCCACACCGATAGACAGTATTCAGAAAGAAATAGAGAGAGAGAAGAGAGGAGGAGTAGATCTTGCGAGAACTTCCGGGCAAAACAAAATGGCGGCCCCCGTAGTTCGGCTCGATTCGAAAAGTGAAATAGCCATAGCATCTTTGTAGTCGATAAAATTAGCTTACAACTTTTGTGCCATAACGTAATCTTTTCTTTGCCTTTATCCTTTTGATCATCCACATCGATAGAAAGTATTTCGAAATTAGGAAAAACGGGTCTTGTTTCACACCGGGTGAGAATAGCCTACGGTGGCAAGTCTCACCCATGGTGAGAGGTCGATCATATTTCTATTCTCACCGCGGGT